ATATTTTTAGATTTAAAATTACATTTTCAATTGTAAGATTTTAAAAGATTTACTTTTGTAAAATGAGTGTAGTATCAAACAAATTATATAGCTAATTTAGTTAGACTAACATACAAGAGGTATTAGGTTCAACTTTCATTAATGACATTTTTGTTTGACAATTTCAAAAATTAATTTTGGAAGATTAATGAATTTGGGTTTGTTTATTTGAGTTTAGAGAAAAATAATAAACGTGAAATCAAACTTAAAATGATTATTAGGGTTTTTTAGTAAAAACTTTGGGAAAATTTATATATTTTGGAATAGTGTTGTTTTGGAGTGTGTAGGGTAAAATAAAAATAGAGAAACATACTATAAAAATGTATTTATTTATGGGTGAAAGAAAGTTTGAATTTTGTTTTACGACACGTTTAATGTTTTTTATTTGGATCCAAATTGTTATGCATTGTCGACGTATGAAGTATATAAATAGTCTTACTTTTTCGGGATTTTTGTAATTTTCTTTGATGTGTAGTTAGCAAAAATGCAGTTTTGTTTTTATAAATATAATAACGTTTTTTTAATACTATAAGAAATGACAATAAAGGTTTTAAGGGGTTGGTGATGCTTGTTTTTGTGTCTTGGCATTAAGATAAATGACAGCAGCTAAGTTATACTAAAGATACATAATATGTTTATAGGGCAAGTACGATTATTATTTATAATATATATTATGTGTATAAAATGCAAAGGTATTATAATATATATTAGCTATTGGTTGTGGAAGTTATTAAGTACATATATTTTATATATTGCTTATGATATAAGTTAAAACTGAACGTAGTAGCATTATAAAAAGTATGAAAAATTATTAATATATTTGGATAAAAAAAAGTTAACAGTGATATTATAATATATTATATATATGAAAGTTGAAGATACTTTATATGATAAAGTTGATATAATTTAATTAAAAGTCGCATGTGTTACTTTATTTTATTTTATTTATTTGTAATATGTGATTGTTTGCAATTTAAAAAAAGATAACGTAATTTGTGAGTTTTAGGTGAACAGGGGAAAAGGGAATTATGTGAAATTATATTGGAAGTGAATATCATCAATGTTTTAAGAGAGTAATGAGAAATGATATCTATGTATTTTGTTGGAAAACTCTTGTGAAGATGGTGGAAAGTGTATCATGTGTATTTCGGAAAGAAAGTTCTCAAGAAAGTGAAATTTGTATACTTAGTAGGGAAACTCTAGAAGAGAATGGTGAGAAGTGGATTCTATCTATAAGGTTTGAGGGAAGGAAGAAAGGTGATTGTTTTAGTGGTGAATAATTGTAAGTAAGTTGTGTATGAGAGTTAAAAACCATTTTTTGATTTTGGGATCATGGTCTTATCAATACATGTATAACTTTGTGAATTTTATCGAAACCCTCTCGAGAATTTTTGATTGCACTTTTTTTTGTCGAAACAACTTTGTGAATGGTTGTGTGAAACAAATGATGAAATTGAATGATATGGTGAGACACTATGAAAGTTTTGGGTGAGTTGTTATATAATTATGACTTAATACCTATCTTGGTTCTTATATTCATTATTTTTGTTCAAAGTCGTCATCGAGTTTTTTCGGCATTGAAAGTGGTCCCTTTTTTGTAAAATATGTTCAATTTAATTTTTTCACCGACGTCTAAATTGCTAATGACATAGAGTCCACGTAAGAAAAACATAATGAGTTGTTACGAAGTAGAGCTCACAGTGGCTAGCTCACATCATCATCTTGCCACGTCATCGCCATATTCCTCAAATTAGAAACCTTAATTTTCCTTCCACCACTGTGTCGTTGTGCACCACACTCAGGCCACCATCTTTTCCATGTCGTCGGACCACCGAGAGCTTCGCCGTTAGCAATCACGCAAGCCACCATAATCAATCAGAAAACCCAATATGCAAAAGAAACCCTCCACTGCAATGAATCAGACCCAAACCGCGAGCCCAAATCGCTATGCACCGCCACACCTGCATCTCCCTCCTGGTGCAACCAATGTGAGAACCACCATCAACATCTCACGATCTTGATCTTCTCCATTGCCAACTGAGAACTCCACCCTCATGAGAACCTACAAAGTGAAACCCAAAAAATCACAAAACCATCGAACTTGTAGGAAACCCATAATTCTCAAATCTCCTTCGAACATTAACCCTAGTTCGTGAAACAGTCACAAACATTTTCGAACTAGAACCTTAACTCATGAAGATTGCGTTCAACCCCCAAATTGAAACAAAGATCCTTCATCGCAATAGGTCGTGCAACCTTCAATATCTTCCTCGCGTACCATCATCAAAACAAATTGCAAAAACCCAATTCGCGAAATCGTGCTTCCTCCATGGAAACCTGCAAAATCCTAAATCGCACTATTATTGAACTCGTTCAACCTCCATTAATGACGTGAAAGCATCTGCAAGGAGTAAAACGCGTGAATAACTTTCCATTAAATCACAAAAACCTATAAAAATTAAGGTTTTTGATTTGAGGAAGATGGTGATGACGTGACGAAATGATGATGTGAGCCAACCGCTGTGAATTCTACTACATGACAACTCATTCAAGGACTCTACTTCATTAACGATTCGGATGTTGTTAATGAAAATGACAAAATTAAACAAATTTAAAAAAAAGAATTCACTTTAAATGCTAAAAAAACTCGAAAATCACTTTCAACAAAGAGATAAAAATAGATATTAAATCTCTAATTATTTGATGTATGTTATTATTATGATGTTTGATTTTGCTATTAGCTCATCATTTGTATATATGTTAGCTCATCATTTTTTATGTGTTTGACTGTGATGATTGACTATGCCTGTAGATATACTAGAATAAATATTGTTGCAAATATTGATCTGACAATAAGAAACTTTGGGTTTGTTGCAAATATTGATCTGACAGGAAAAAGCTTTGGGTTTGCTTCGAGAAAATGACTTTTTTCTATATAAACTTATTTATTAGACAGGTTTTTGTGAAATAATATAAATTTTGATTTAATTATAAATTCTTTTAAAGTTTACTTTTGGGTTGTTTGTATAAGTAAATGAAACTTTCAATTTCCGATAATATTATTAATAAATGGTGATAATAAATTTTCAAAATAAAAGATTTTGAAATTTACGAATTTTAGTAAAGTATCTTAATAGCATTCAAATTGGATGTTAAATTAATATAATTTATAATATATTATTTGTTGAAATGCATTTAAAATGAGATAATACATTCCAATTTAAAAAATAATATAATTCTTTCACCATGGTAAAACCATCATTTCATCATGCCTATGCTTTCATATATAACACGATTATTAAGGGTGTGTTCGTTTGCATACCTGTCATTTTTTATGCGTATTTGCTGAGATGGATTTACGAGATAAATAATATTAGTTTTCAAAAATTTGAAAGCGAAGTAGAGCGATGATTTGCTGGATAGTTCAGATTTTCAATATTTGCATCTTTGTTCGGATTTGAAACAATTTCATATGAAATTTCAAATTTGTTCTCATACAGTTATGATTGAATATGAAGGCTGCAAGAGATGAAGATATTAAGCATGAAAATTACAGAGGAAAAATGATTGAAGATGAAGGTGGAACTGATTCCACTTGCAGATGGCATCGATTCCAACGACATTTATCCAATTCCAAGCCTCTGTATTTGATTCTAAGCCAAACGTATTTAGTTTCAGCACTTCGTATTATTCGGTTCCAACATTTCATAATATTCGGTTGCATTTCATATTCGATTCTTGCATTTTATATTTGGTTTCAAACTATTTTGTTTTTTTTTTCTTGTTGGATATATATATATATATTACGTAGTTTCAAATATGTCTAATCAGGTAGAGTATTTCTTGTGGTCATGATAGAGTTCATTCATGCTTCTTCTTAATATTAAAAATAATAATACAAATAATAATAATAATAATAATAATAATAATAATAATAATAATCCTAAAAAATGTATTATTTTAATTATTTCATCTAAAAAGTAATTTTAATTTTTTTTCCTCTTTATAATAATTTTTACAATTAAATATATTAATAATAATAATAATAATGATACAATTTTTTTCATGTTAAAAATAATTTTTTTTATATTCTTATAATAATTTTTACAATTATATATAATATTAACAATTACAATTTTATATTACTTTTATTATTAAGGATATTTTGATAATCTTTAATTTTTATCAATTAAACAATTTATTTTATTTATGGTTAAATTCTAAACTAATTTTCAGAAACTTTAATTTCAAATATACTCTCACTCACCTCCAAATCTCTTAAAAAAAAACAACAATCAATTTACTCTCAAATCCCCTTTAATTCATTCACTCACTCTCTCCAAATCATCTTCTAAAATAAATACACCTTAAATATACCTCAAAATACATAACTTTATTTAACTTTAAGATAAATTTAAAATAAACTTAAAATTATGTGTTAAAATAAACTTAAAATTAATCAGAAAGCATATAACAAAGAACGTTATATTTTATAACTAATTATAATTAACATATATTTTTAAGTTTATTTTAAATATATTATAAAGCTAAGTAAACTCGTAAGTATTAATGTATATAGGATATTATATAATTAATACATTTTTTCAAGTTTATCTTAAATATACCTTAAAGCTGCATAAACTTTCATGCATTTTTATACATATTTTTTTATGAAGATGGAAGAGGTATGGAAAAGGTAAAAGAAATATCATTTTTTATTCTTCTGTCTCGCTCATTAATATACAAGTTTCCTGTATTTTTGTGCTCTGAATTGACGATCAAGTTGGTCAGTTACTCCAATATCAACCCTAAAATTTCTACGAACCAAAACCAAATCTGAAAAAGACAGCTCAATAGAGCAGTATATATTCAATTTTTTATAGTAATTGTATAATAAATAAATATTGATGGTATCTGCAAATGTTTTAGCACTAAAAGGCATTACTATTTTGGCAAAACTGTTGAAGAATTCTAAGAAGTTGTTTATTAATAATAATACAGTATCGGTATGAGCAATGTACTTTGCAATCATGGTTTCTTCCCAGTATCAAACTTATAATAAAATAATTGAGGTCAATGGATATCCTACACTTACAACAACTCATCTGATGGTGACAAAACATCTATTCCCTTGTGATGATGCCATGTAGAGAGAGACTGCGATTTTTGTTGCTGACATCAGGTGTACTGCAATCTTGTTGATTCTCCATAACACGGCATGAAATTGGATACAACAGGCATTAATCGGTAGCTGAAACGTTCTATTGTGACAATAGAAAGTTATTTCAGTAATTCAAGTCGTTTCTTTGTTAAATTGATCTTCTCTTCTGCTTCTGTGGCTTTTTCTCGCACCCCGCGGACCACAGCTTCCGGTGCTTTCTCTACAAACTGTAGCAAGTCACAGCAATAAGAAATTTGGCAAACACTCTTGCTGTACTTTTGTGTATCCATGTTAGAATAATTTTATAAAAACACCTAGTACTAGAGGAGCCTAGAAAACCGTTAAACAAAAATATCAGCAGGTAATACTCAGTAACTTTAGTAGTTTATTTATAATTAATACTGATAAAATCATCCTTATGCTGTATTGTATTACTCAATGTGAGATTTGGGTACTTCAAAATACTCCGAGTTGTTTTCGGATATCGAAACACTTGATCTTAGATTTTATATTATCTTAAAAAATAGTGTTAAAAACTCTGGAACACTCAAAAAATACTGTTAAAAAATATGGAACACTACTTAGCTACCTTTGCTCAGTTTTAGAATCATTTCGTATCTACCTATATTATCTGATTTTGATAGTTAAGCAGCATAAATAACAAGGGTTTAATGCACATTAAAATAATGAGGGTAAGTAATATATCGTTTCATACTTGAGAAGAATTGAGTTTAGATTTTAATGCATCATATTCCTTCTGCATCTTGGAAAGACGCTTTGATAGTCGTTCAATTTCTGCAGAAATATCAACCATATCGGCCAGAGGGAGATAAGCCTCCAGTCCCTCTCCAGCCACGAGGTGAACTGACTGATCTGCATTTCCTGAAGTATATTACGTGACATTGTTTCAGCCGCCAGTATTTATTTAGAACCAATAAATAATTGACTTGAGAAAAATGATACAAATTCAATCTTCAACCATGGAGGGCAAAAAGTTCAGTAGAAAGCATGCCTGGAGAAGAATCTGTGAATTCCAGATTTTGTAGATCCAGCCGAGAGAGAAGAGCTAGAACCTCTCGTTCTTCCTGATGAAAAATAAGATACACCACAACATTACTTTGTTTTTTCTCAAGAACAAGAGCAGAGGGGAAAATCTATGAAATTCATCAAGATTACAGTTCCAGTGTTGCACAGAAATAAATTGATTCCTCCAAATATGGGGCAGGTCAGTTTTTAAGAAGGTAGACGGAAAGAAGAAAAGATCAAGAGGAATGAGGTTAGGGACCAAGAATGGGAAGAGTTAGAAAAAAAAAGAATTTTATTGGACATATGAAAAAGAAAAGAAAAATAGAACACTCTCTCCTCTAAGGGTTTCCTCTTCACTAAGGATTTCAACTTTCACAAAGAACTAATGCTTAATCTGTCAAACGAACACCCCCTCACCAATCCTTATTTCCTATTATTAGAGAATAATAACGTGTAATAGGAAAACATTACTTCTTCTTTAATCCTAGATTATTAGCTTGTTTGTTGTGCCAGCTGTCCTTTTTGTTAGTTTGTTATATGTATGGGCACACTTGTATCCAAAATGCATCTTCTATAAAATGCTCCATTTCCTCACTGTTTTCAGAGGGTTGAAATAATGAAAACCTTTTTTACATTTTAATATTTTTTCTAAGACTTATTTATGTTTAACACCACAAGTAACTCATTAATATTCTAACCATACCTGATTTCTCCTTCTCCATATATCATAACAAAAACATACTTACGATTTATATATTAAAATAAAGAAAAGAATCACATGATGATAAATAAAATTGCAATTCATATTCATTTTCTTAAATATTGGAGGTAGAGAAATGAGGAGTAACCACACTTACAGCAATATAGTCTATAACTTCTTTGTTTGCAACCACAGATGCTGATATACGTTTTGCCGGCTCAACAGAATATTCTGCCCGAGCATTCCTGATGGCTCTAACCTAGAAAACGAAAAAAAATAAAAATAAAAAGATATAAACTAACCAAAAGTGTGATTATGTAAATGAATCATGTTCCAAAGAAATATTGAAAAGGTTGAGAGAAGAAAATAAAGATATAAACTAACCAAAGCCTGCAAATTTTCAAACTTTTTTATAGAGCCATTGTTCCTTGGAAGTTGAGTCTCGGGCCAAGGTGATACAATAAGAGCATGTTTTCGGTAAGGGAGTGCCTATTGGCAAAAGAAAAAAATATATATGATAGCAGTTCCATCTTATAGTCACTTGAAGAAATATTGAGATAGAATACTGCTGAATTTAAAGGCAGGTATACAAAGAGAAAGAAAATAGGGAGATTGGCTGGAATTGATCCAGTAGAAATGGCTTTCCTTCTTATGCAGAGTCTCCGTGTAGGCAAAGAATTAGTGAGTACTGCTTCTTAAAAACAATATCCATTTAACATACGATACACAAACCCCATGGGTATTATCACAAGTATGTTTTTCTTATCTTTGCTGACTGTGTAATACCACATGTTATCTTTATTTATTAATCAAAAGTTGAGGTAATTAGGGATCTAAATTCTAGCAAAACGAACTTTTACAAAGGATGGAGCTCAAAGATGATGTCCACAAGGCCTTCAGCAAGGGCAAGGCAGACTTTAGCTGCTCTGGCATTTCATCTTCATCCTCTTCATCTTCCCTCAAAGATTCTGTTGTACATTACAGGGCTAGGAAAGTGTAACAGTAAAACCATGCTTAGCAGTTTTTTATTTTGACATACATATTATATATATAGTGCAAATTCTAAAGGTGATCATACCCACCAACTCATCTGTAAAATTCTGAAAGAAGGAGATGTCTTACTGTCTTGTGTAATCCACACCATGTATTTTGAAAATAATTTAATATCCTTTATGGTGCTGAAAAATGTTGGAAGTCCTACATCGACTAGAGGTAAGGTCAATTCATAGTATATAAGTGAATACAAACCTCACCTTACAAGCCGTTTTTATGAAGTTGATTTAGGCTTAAAGTCTACTTCTTAACATGGTATCAGAGCCAGGTTAGAACTTATTCTAGCGATATTTGTGTTGCTAGACATATTGTTCCACCCGCAATTGGGTCGCTATCGGATCACCCATTAGTATCTAGTCTCATGTTCGAGATGTATATATCTCGGCGTGACAGGGTGTGTTGGAAGTCCTACATCGGCTAGAGATAAGGCCAATTTATAGTATATAAATGGATGCAAACCTCACCTTACAAGTCGATTTTGTAGGGTTGAGTTAGGCTTAAAATCCACTTCTCAACATTACTAATTATTAGTGTTGTAAATGGCATATTACTAGGATAAAATTATTCTCAACATCTCCATTGTAATTAAGAAAATATCTTCAAAATTTCCTATTCATTTCAACATATTTTATTGTTAGATACATTTTGTATTTGCGGTGTGCAAGAGCAAGATGTTTGATGAATACTGAAACTCTAGGAAGAGAAATATTTACGAGCACTGTCAAAAGCATGGTTTCCTTAGGATATAGGCAAAACCAAGGAGATCATACTTTATTCATAGAGAACTTTGTTATGGGTAAACTTACACTATTGTTGGTCCATGTAGATGACACGATTATTGTAGATGATGAAACCTAGAAATTGATTTTTAAATGAAAAATTGGCAGCCCAATTTAAAATGAAAATTAAGGGAAAACTTACATATTTCCTTGGAATAGAGGTACTTATTCAGAAAAGGAGATTTTCATTTTCCAAAGAAAATATGTACTTGATTTTTTTAAAGAAATTGGTAAGATGGGATGAAAAATTTCAGGAGTTCCTATTAAATAAAATCATAGAATTGGAAGGGAAGAGAACTCTCTTTTAAAAGAAACAATATCAAAGATTGCTAGGAAAACTTATTTATCAGATACGAGACCAGACATTGTTTGTTTATGCAGTCAGCATGGTATGCAAGAAAAAGACAGCGAAGGAATGGACAAAATTCTTCAATACTTGAAGTCAAGCCTATGAAAGGGGCTATTTTTCAAGAAAGAAGACCCTTTCACCTTGAAGATATATACTAATGCAGGCTATGTAGGATTTGTTATTGACAAAACCAACTTTTGGGTACTGTATGTTTATTGGAGAATGTCTAGTGACTTGGAGAACCAAAACAATAGGATAAAGTATCTCGTTCTAGTGCAGAAGTTTAATTTTAAGCCCTTGCTCAAGATGTGTGAAGGACTCTAGATGAATATTTGATGACAAGGTTGACATCCTCAGGCAAAGTCTACCATTAGTATTGTCCATAATCCAGTCCAACATGATAAAATCCAATATATTGAAATTGACAAGAACTTTATAAAAAGATATCCCTGACAGGGTGTCAAGTGGTTATAACCCATGTCCTTAGAGGACTTCAAATAGCAAACATTTTCACTAAAGGACAAAGTCCAAGATCTTCTTGTAGGCAAGTTATTAGAATTTGTCTTATTAGCTGTATTATCTCTATCAAGATTTGTGTTTTATTGTTTCCTTACTTAGCATGTTATAATTACAGTATATGATGGGGATATCCCTGAATCATAGGGATCTGGTTGTCTAGGAGTTAATATTATACTTCCTAAAATAGCATTCTAGCCTTGTATATATGGATTGTATTCTCAGCATAATAAGATGAATTATTCTACCCTAAATTATAACATGTTATTAGTGCTCTCGAATTTTGGGTGCCGCCTCTACCTACGCACAACAAAACCCTAGACGACAACCTTCATTGTTGCCACCATCCCTTTCGAGACAGCCTTCATTACTGTCACACACCAAACGCTAGCCACCAGCCTTCATTACTGTAAATCATTTTTTTGGGTCGCCATTCTTCATTGCCTTAAGGTCGTTGTACTGCATGGACATGGAAGACCAAATTCCTGAAGTAGTGAATACTACATCATAGTACACTCAGGAACAACTGCAGAACCTCAACACTGCCTATCGATTGAATGGGAAGAATTATTTGAAATAGGCCCAGCTTGTTCGCAGAACTTTGAAAGGTAAAGGGAAAGTTAACCACTTGACTGAAGATGCTCCTAAAGAATAAGATCCCAGATTTACAAAATTAGATGAAGATGACTCTATGATAATGGCATGGCTATGGAACTCCATGATCCCAGAAGTCACTGATACTTGCGTGTTTCTTAATTCTACAAAGGAGATTTGGAATGCCATGGAGCATACATATTCCAAAGCTAAAGATGCTGCTCAACTATATGATGTGAAGGTGAAGAGTGTCGCTGCAAAACAGGAAAGCAAGACTATTATAGGGTATGCCAATCAACTCAAATCCTATGGATAGAATTAGACCATTACAGGGTCATTATAGGTTCATGAATGCCAAGTGCTCAGATGATTCAGCAATGCCCAAAGAGTATTGTTAGAATATTTACCCTATTTATCATGATTATATTGTGTCTAGAGTTGCCCTATTTATCATGATTATATTATGTCTGGGATTACCTTAATTATCATGATTATATTGTGTCTAGGGTTACCCTAATTATCATGTACTCTTGTATCAAATTATTTTTACAAAAATGGAAGATTATGAGAGGGATCAATCAAGCTCTCTAGAATTATTTTAGAGTTTAATTCTCAAGTTGGTATCACAGCCATGGTTAGAGCCTATCCTAGCGAGTTCTAAGTGGGCATTCTATTCTTCTATTCCATCCACTATCGGACCGTTATCGAACCACCCAATTTCTACTATCACGCACGGGATGTCTATACCTCGGCGTGAAGGGGGTGTGTTGGAAGTCCCACATCGACTAGAGATAAAGCCAAATTATAATATATATATATATATATATATATATATATATATATAAGTGAGGTGCAAACCTCACCTTACAAGCCGGTTTTGCGAGGTTGAGTTAAGCTTAAAAAGTCCATTTCTAACATGGTATCAGAGCAGGTTGTCTGAGTCTCTTCCTACTCTGTCTTTGTTGCTGCTGGTGGCCCGTGGCTGCCGCCACCGGCGGTCTTAAAAATTTCATATTTTCTTAAATACCTCAATGAGCAGTCTTGTTCTGGTTTCTATCTAGTCTCTAAACCTTAGTTGTTGTCCGCAACTGTCTGGCACAGTTTGTCGCTGTCTGGCACAATTTGTCGCTGTCTGGTGTTGTTTGTCGTTGTCTGACGTCGTTCGTCGTTCGTCGTTGTCCACTTGGCACTATTTTTCCACTGTGAGGAGCTGTTCACATAAGTTTGTCACTATCAATTTTGTTCCCTGCCATTCTGACGCCGTCTGCTAATGCCTGCCGCCGGCCACCGCCACAGTTTAGTTCGACGACCAATGGATCTGGATCGCCTCCTTGAGCGATGGTCAATCCCGCCCGATGTCGAGGGCTAGTTCTCATCCAGGCACCACCACGCACGCCACATTTGTCCGACTCTGCCGCCACCGTCATCTTTTCTCCGACAAAGTTAGGGGTTTTGTCGCCTTAAGGAGTGTGACCCATCCTGGGTGGTCGCTGCCTCATTCTCCTCCACACGCACGGTCACGAACGACTTCTCTACGATCAGCTTCCGGCACGTGTTTGTCACAAGTCACCTTCCCAATGTCAGAATCATACTACGCCACTACCTTTCGTCTCGCTTGGCCAAAAGAAAAAAAAAATAGTTTCAGCATTGTTCCTTAGTCTCTCTTTCATAATGTGTGTTTAGTTTGCATATTGTAGCAGCTGTGATGTTTTTGATGGCTTGTGTCATTTATTTACAAGTCCCCAAGGAGAGTCAGTGTTTTTAGTTGGTTAACACCAAGGAATTTCAACACCAAAGTCATAGGTTGAAGGTTCCTCATGGCATGAGGGGAGTCTATTTCTGGCAAGATTCATAATCTTAGTCAAACAATTTACCAGTCCTTTGTCAAATCTGTTTTTTATTATGGAGACCATTATGATCTTCCACCTTCACGATTTGTCATCGGTGTGTCATCATTTTGGTCGTTCGCCGTGAGGGGGAGTATGTTTCAGCCATTACAGGCCCCATCAATGAATGATGGCAACTTAGTCCCTGTAGTTTGTCGCTTTCAACGACTGCAGACCCCATCAGTCAATAATGGCAGTTTAGTCCCTGTAGTATGTTTCAGCCACTACATGCCCCATCAATCAATGATGTCAATTTAGTCCCTGTAGTTTGTCGCTTTCAACCACTGCAGGCCCCCATCAGTCAATAATGGCAGTTTAGTCCCTGCAGTATGTTTCAACCAGTGCAGACCCCATCAATCAGTAATGGAAGTTTAGTCACTACAGTTTGTTTCAGCCACTACAGGTCCCATCAGTCAGTAATGACAATTTAGTCCTTGTAGTTTGTCGCTTTTAGCTACTGTAAGCCCCATCCATACTTAATGGAATCCAATCTCTACAGTTTGTCGCATTTAGCCATGCAGGCCCCATCCTTACTTGATGGAAATCCAGTCTCTGCAGTTTGTCAATGTCTACCACTCGTCATCCACTTTTGATGGAAATCAACTTTGTCAAAGTCATCCTACTTGAAGGTTCATGGTGCTAGTTGAAGTTTCGTGGTTGTCCAATATTGTTTTCCATAAGCTTATGAGAGTCTCTTTGGTTATGCTAGTTTGTGAGTCCAATTTGGTTTGTAGACATTCTCTCTCGATGGTCTAAAGCATATGTGCATCTTGTTCGAAGCCAAAGTTACCATGTCTATTGTCTTGACATTCGAGACAAGTTGATTTTGTTGGAGTGAGTTTATTTATTCCAAGCTTGTTACATATAATCTGTATGCTCCAGCTTGAGGGAGAGTGTTAGAATATTTACCCTATTAATCATGATTATATTGTGTCTAGAGTTACCCTATTTATCATGATTATATTGTGTCTAGAGTTACCCTATTTATCATGATTATATTATGTCTAGAATTACCATAATTATCATGATTATATTGTGTCTAGGGTTACCCTAATTATCATGTACTCTTGTATCAATTTATTTTTATAAATAGAAGATTATGAGAGGGATCAATCAAGCTCTCTAGAATTATTTTAGAGTTTAATTCTCAAGTAGTATATTGAGCAAGATAGAGTCTATGATTTCTTGGTGGGGCTTAACTTTGATTTTGATCAAGTGAGAGTCCAGATTCTTGGTAAAGACAAAATTCTAGGAATAAGTGAAGTAGTAGCTATGGTCAGAAGTGCAGAAGGCAAAAGAGGAATAATGTTGGAAACCCCAACCATGGAAAGTTCAGCAATGATAGCTTCCGGATCAGCCATGATAGCTTTCGGATCAGCCATGATGATAGACTCAAAAAAGGGGGGAATAGCCAATATCGAGAAGAAAGATGAAGGAGTTTGGTGTACCTTTTGTAACAAGCCTAGCCACACTCGCGATAAACGTTGGAAGCTACATGGAAAGCCACCTAGTAGAGATTGGGGATCCCATAATTGTCACAAGGAGTAGGGAGAAAAAGGAGACAAGACTAGAAAGGAGGACAAACACACATAAGTGCTGCAACAGACGAAGAAAATAGAGGTGCGATTCAACTTAACTAGGATGAAGTAGAACGAACATATGAGATCATTCCTCAAAAAGATGGATAAGTCACCAAGTAGTTGTTCTCTGGCACATTCAAGACGCTTGGTGAGTGTTCTTCTTTTGAACTTAATGCCTTAGATAAAAACCATAACCCATATCGGATACTAGAATCTCGGGCTACCGACCACATGACACCCCTACCCAAACATTTCTCAATTTACACCCCTTGCCCTAGCAACAAGAAAATATCAACAAATGATGGCTCCCTGATGATAGGAGCAAGTAATGGAGAAGTCCAAATAAGACCATCCATAACCCTTAAGAATGACCTTCATATTTCTAAATTATTTGTCAATTTGATTTCCATAAAAAAACTCATATAGGATCTTTCAAGTAATGTTATTTTTGTGACAATGTGTTCTACAAAACAAGTACTAGGGGAGGATACTTGGACATGCTAGAGAATGGAATGACTTGTATTAATTGGACCACCCAAATCTTCCACCAGACCTGGAAAACAACACCTTTTTCTCTGATTCAATAAAGACCAACAGGGAGAAGGTCTTCCTACATGATTGTCACCTCGGACATCCTTCCTTTAGGGTCATAAAATCGTTATTCCCTTACCTTTTTAGCAAATTAGATGTGGCAAGTCTCAATTGTGAAGTGTGTGAGCTTGCTAAGCACAAACGTGTTCCTTTTCCAATTAGTAATAATACATGCATTTTGCCCTTCTATTTAATTCATACCAATGTATGGGGTCCCTCAACTGTCCCAAATGTTTATGGTGCCCGATGGTTTCTTACTTTTATAGATGATTGTAGCGATTTTACTATTTCGTATGTGATAAGAATCCAACATCCAAATAGTTGCAGAAACAACCCAAAGAAAATAGCTATTAAAGGGGAAGCTAAAATTCCCAATTGTGATTCTGAGAAGCCTAGGCTTCTCCAGATTCAATCCATGCATTTTTGTTTATTTAGGAGACAACATAGTTTAACTGAATGGCAAAGACTTGAAAACATCATCATAAATATGTTTAATAATAAGTCCCATCAACCTAAAAGCAAGAAATTACAGAAACATACAAAAGCATCACTATAACTTTGTTTTTTGTGCTGCGTTATATATAGAGTGCATCAAATTTACCTGCCACAGCTCCTCAGTTACAAATGGCATGAAAGGATGCAGAACTTTGAGTATGTTCTCGAAAGTATATAACAGAACAGCCTGTGCCACTGAAGCAACAGAGTTGCCTCCAACTCCAGAGTGATAAAGACGCCCTTTACTAGCCTCAATGTACCTAAAAGATCAGAGAGCATTAGTCAAACGCAATGCAAAGACCCATAAAGATCACCAATAGAAACACAAACACTAGTACAACTAGTATAAAAGCAACATACCAATCAGCAAAATCAGCCCAAAAGAAGTCATATATTTCTCGTCCCACTTCTCCAAAGTAAAATTTGTCATAGCTTCCACTGACAGATTCAATGAGCAAATGAAGTTTTGACACCTAAAAAATTGAATCAAGATTATCACAGACAAGCAACATTCTCAACATACAAAATCTAAAAACAAAAACTCCTTACCACCCAACACTCAGGTAAAGGAAGATTAACCACAATGCCTTCACTGTCAAACTGAACACAATAAAAAAAGTTTTAGTTAAGACAATATGTTGAGTGTTAAGCAAACATCCGCCAAGCTAGAAGTAACTGCAGTACGAATATTAAGCAAGCATCCTGCATTAAAATGATAAGTGTCACAATAAATTGATCATACTAACTTTTCTAGTTTATTATTTGCTTCACTTTCACATGTCTGTAGAGTTCCTACTAATATTCATATTGAGAGTCAACGAAGATTTGATGAAATTTGACAACGATTTATTTTGATTTGATTTAGTGCTATTTTTACAATATTACCCTTTTTATCTTTTCATTTAATGTTCAATTGTATCATAATCAAGGGATTCTCTCTCCTTTTGTTTATATAAATAATGAGCATGAAGACAATTTTTATTCAAGCTTTTAAGAAACAAGTATAATTCTGAAGTTAGCAACACAAAACTTGTTTCATATCAGAAGGGAATCCCTTCTTAGATCCAGGAATACTAAACTCTCGTGAAAAAGCCGAATTACCTTACCATAACTAGACTTGACATATCATTTGCATTAAGCCTCATGAGTCAATTCCTAGATCCTGAATGAAAATATAATTGTGGTACTTTGGTTGAATCCTGAGGTATAAAAGAGTCTCCTGACACAGTGACACCATGACAGGTGGGACGAGGTTTGATGCAAATTTGTTGAGAGTTTTGTTATATTTGATTCAATATTATTCTTACATTATTATTGCTTTTATCCTTTCATTTAACGTCAGATTGCATCATCCCTATAATCAAGAGATTCTCTCCCTTTGTATTGATTCAAGACTTATGATATTCTCTCCCTTTATATAAATGAAGGGTCTGATGACTGTTTTTTGCAAAAGCTCTTCAGCAACCCTATATTCTTAAGTATTCACTTCATGATTTTCAAAAGCTATATACCATCACTTGAACAATGTAAGGAAATAAAAAATCATTTAATTGATAACAATCACACAAATTACATTCTCATCATTTCTGTTTGAAATACTCAATTTCTTTAAAATAAGGAAATACAAATATGTTGAAATGAATTGAAAAATTCTAAACATAATTTTCCTAATCACTATGGATATTGAGGATATTTTAATCCTAACAATCCACTATTTTAGTCCTAAACATGAGGACCAACACCTTGCTAGGATAGGTTTTGTATGTCTCTTATACCATCTTCAAAACGTGAAATTTAAGCCTAATTCGATCTCATAAAACCAACTTTTAAGGTCAAGTTGCATTCACTTATATATATTATAATTTGGTCTTAATTCAAAATGAAGTGGGGTCTTCAACACCTTTATTTTGGGGTCAACTAGTATGAATTTAATCCACTTGAGATGAATAAAAAAGAATAGATAATGAATTTGAGAGTGATTTCCCTCTCTTAGGATCTCATATTTATAATGACATAGGAGATTTTAGATACAATGAATGAGACGGAAGAGAAAAGAATAAGGTCATATCTAGAAACTAGGTACAAACAAAGCACACAACTTTTCAATAAATTCTATTTAAGATGACTTATTCTAACACTTCCACTTAAGATGATTTATCCTTAATATCTCCATAATGGTTAGGAAAAAATACATTTAGAATCTTCCTATTCGAGCCAATGTAATTTTATTTCCTTATTTTAAAGGGTTTGACTATTATAAACAGAAACAATGAGCTTCATCATTTGGATCTTAAACATTGCTCAAGATACCAAATCTATTTATAACAATCAAACTCTTTAAACTAAGGAAATAAAAATATACTAACCCGAATAGCAAGATTCTAAAGTTATTTTTTTCCTAATCATTATGGAGATATTAAGGATACTTTTATTCTAATAATCTAGTATTTACAATATCATTTAAGTCTTGGCTTTGTTCAAAGCTAGGCAACAATTATTATGTCTACTTCCAAGAGGACCACAAGTTTCCCTTATACCATTCTGCTATCTAAATTTCTTCTCGTCTCACATAAGAAATTTTTAGCATGAAAGATAATGTTACTTAGTAGAAATGTAACTTCTTTCACAACTTAAAGAATAGGGAATTCCTGAAGTGTTCTTGAGCAAAGCTTTTATCCCACAATTCAAATTGGTTGTTTGATGTTTTCTTCTTGTTATGGAAATCAAGTCTGTCATAGGTCACATCTTTTATTTGGACATTGTTCTCAATAAAATAATTACCAATGACATTTTCATGTTTGTAAGAGCCATCAGGCTTTTTCCTTGATGTGTGTAATGTAGTAGTGAAAGCTCAGAACCAAACACATACTTGTTCTTACACCGCTGTGTTTAAGACTCCTTGTGGAATTCCTTTTTCAACATTCAGGTTGAATGTTGGGTGTCCGAGGTCCCTAATTTAATTCTTAATTTTAGGTAGGAAGAGGCTAACTTTTGTTACAATGTCCAACATCAGCTACAGTTTGATGCAACTAGTTGATTTTACATTCCTTTTTCTCCTTTCTTTTTGTGCTTTGTACTATTCCTTTCCCTTTGTAACTTTCTCTCCATCTTAATTAATTTCTTCTTTTATCTAAAGAGAAAAAAGTTGAAAAAAAGATTTTTATAAGTGACGAAATAAGAAAGAGGGGATTTAGAAAGTGCTAACTGGGGTGTCATCCTTTTAAACATGTATAACTCATTAAAAAGAGGGGAGAGGGTTAGCTGTCTAATCATTGGATGCTAAGAGTGTCCCTACCTTATAAGACAATATTTTTTCCCAAGCAGACGTATCATTCTCATTAGGCAGGTTCTGCAATATAAATTTGCCAGCATTCCACAATTTATTTGTGAAGGCTTTGTTGGAGGTCAACCGCTCAGTTGACAAATTAAGGTCCTGGAAGAGAAAAACAGCATCCCATCTGCATCTAAGATAATCAATTTTTTCATGGAATAAACAACAGTCTACAATTAGAATACAGCAAAACAAACCTGGCCAGCTGTGCCTAAAGCTAGTGTGAAACGTAAAGCATCTGTCCCAAAATCTTTGATAGTGTCAAGGGGATCTACTACATTTCCCAATGTTTTAGACATTTTTCTCCCCTGAAAATAATACAATTGTTACATAATCAGTTTACAGACATGCATAGGTTAGACCTTAAAGTTCATAAGTTTAAAACCCAGCCATGTTTACAGAATGATTTTGTAGAAAATATTTAAAAAATCGAACAATTACATAACTAAGTGTCACTATTTATGCTCTTTGACCAAAACATAATTATCAAAGTGCTTTATGTTTCATAAAATCAATTTCTAATTTTCCATACACTAATATAGAATTTCTACCAAAAGCATGTGCTGAATTTATATATTAAAATAATACATAGATATGATGATATGCAATTAAGAAAGTTTATATACTTTGGGTTTCCTTATTTTACTTCTCTCAAAATATAGAAAAAAATAATGTTAAGAAGTGGATTTTAGTCTGATAGATATATTACGTTTTATGTTAATTAGGGAAACGTAGATTTTTGATATTGTTTGATATTGATAGATATAGTTTTTAAAAATATCTTCTATTTACCATATTTATATTTGGTTGTCATATATACTTATATCATTCTTCAATAGAAATATTCTTCAGGAAGCTCTTCATATCATATCAGTTCCAATCCTGTCTTTCATGAAAGGACCAAATACATTTAAATTGACGGTCATTCCATTCTAGAGAAGATTGTATTTTGAGACATCAAGACTGAGTTTGTTAACTCAAATGATCAGTTACCAGATATTTTCTCTAAGTCTTTAAGGGGATTGAGAATTGATTATATTTGTAACAAGCTTAGAAAATACAATTTGTATGCACCAGCTTGAGGGAAAGTGTTAGATATATTAGATTATTAGATATCTTATATAGATATCTTATCTTTATCTTTTATCTTTAGTTAATTTGTTATTATTAGTACCCTATGTGTATATTCAATACAAAGGGAGACTAATCTCATACATAATTTCTTTATTATATTGAACATGACCAATAGACTCAATTAATAAAATTTTTTGCTAAGATAGGCTCTAAGCTCGAATACTATTAGAAAGTGGGTTTTTTTAAGCCTAACTCAATCCCACAAAACCGGCTTGTAGGGAGAGGTTTGCATCCACTTATAAACTAAGAATTGACCTTATCTCTAGTCGATGTGGGACTTCCAACA